TCAGCAGGAGTTATTCTAACTCTTTCTGAGCATGGTGTCACTTGGTTTTCTCAGCCCTAAGACCATGACACTAAGGGCAGCTTTGGGTTTAACGGTTTTTCCTTTGTGTCCCCATCAGTCCGAACAGCACGGCGTCCTAACTTCCCACTTTTTCTTTAAGATGTGTTCCAAAATAAACAACCTGAGTCATTCGTTTGTAGAGAGCACCACGGGAACGCTATGCAGCCCTCTGTGAAGGACAACAGCGGCAGCCACGGCTCCCCCCTCAGCGGCCAGCTTAGCTGCAACACCGAGTTCAACACCGGGAAGCCGCCGCAGGATTCGCCTTATGGAAGGTACAGGTTTGAGGTTGCAGCCGAAAAACTCTTCAACCCAAATACTAACTTGTACTTTGGAGACTTCTACTGCATGTACACAGCCTACCACTACGTCATCCTCGTCATCGCCCCCGTCGGCTCGCCGGGAGACGAGTTCTGTAAGCAGCGCCTGCCTCAGCTAAATATAAAAGAGAATAAATTTCTGACCTGTGATGAAGAAGACGGTGTCATGGTTTACCATCACGCCCAGGATGTTATTTTGGAAGTAATTTACACTGATCCTGTGGATCTCTCCCTCGGCACAGTTGCGGAAATTACCGGTCACCAACTAATGAGCTTGTCTACTGCAAACGCAAAGAAAGATCCCAGCTGCAAGACCTGCAACATCAGTGTTGGACGCTGAAATTTCCCCTCGTTCCTTAGGAGCCTTCAAACCTCTGTTGCCCATTTCCATAGTCAGACATTTTTGTCAGAAGCATGCACATGCCGCTGTCACCAAAAGCAAACACGAGTCTTCAAAAATCTCCAATAGTGTTTTTAGTATTTCTTCTCTCCCTCTTTTTTTCCGACGCTTTAAATGATTAGAAGTCCTGGGTTTCTTTCTGGCAACCATTGATACCTAGATGCTGCAAAACTTGTTTTCTGTTTCTTGCCAAACGTAACAAAATCCTATATAAACTGCTTTAGCAAAATTAAAATAACGGCTTATAAATGGTGTTTAAATATGCATTCATTTTAACTACTGAACGAGTACTGGGGTAACTCCAAACAGCATGAAAGGTTGTAATTGCAGCATGAGTTAAATTTCAGAGCCTAGAAATGTCAGCACTTCCAACGTGTTGTTTGACAGTGTTATTTATGTTATTTATATTAGCTAACTGAAAACAGAAACTGTGTCTTGACATAATAAATATAATAGAAAAATATTTTATTTGTACTGTTGTATAAAATATTATACAATCATATAGAATATATAGATGACATTTTAATATCAATTGTATACATATGTCATGAAATCATTTTCCCTTATCAAAGATGTAGTTTGTAAACTTCAAATAGCTCTGTATCTGTTCCTGTTGCTCTAGATGACTTTAATTAAAACAGATTTATGAAGGAGACCATTTCTGATTCATAAAAGTTAAGTTATAAATTATTAAGTCAGTACACTGAAACAACAAGCCTCTGAGAAATAAAAAAGTTCCTTTTTTTAACATTCATACTTCTTCCTCCAAACTACTTGAAAATGCATATGTCTTCAAAATCATGCCAAGCCATTGCACACAATATAAATACAAACAGAGTTGGTACATAACAGGCTTTATAAAATGAAAATCTTCTTACCAAGGTAAAAAACAGGTTGCTTATTACCACGTGGTCAATACAAACTGACAGTTAAAGCAAAACACTAAACATGATTCAACTTACTCAAGTCCCTTTTTTTTTTTTTGTTTCTTCCTTGCTTGATGTCTGGAGTAGGTAGTTCCCAGAATCCCTGCTCTTCATTTCTAGTACAAAACCCACAGCCAGCCCTCTGTTAACAGTCCACTTTTCACACAAATGGTCTATCACAAATAGTGAAAAAAAATCTCCTGAATATTACAAAGTGTGGTGCTCTGAAAGTTAAGAAAGATGCATAATTCCAATGGAAAAATATCTTTTTTTATAATCTTCTCATTAGGAAAGAAGAAGCCTAGCATTCCTCATCAGACATCTGTGACACTCAGTTATATACCATGTACTTTATCTATCCAAAATATCTTAGCATAATGCAATAATCTAGTTTTGTTTTAATATATATATGTGGCAATTTATAACACAAGAAATACTTTGACGTTTTACAAAGTGCATGCATCTAAACGAGCTTTGGTAGTTAGAAAAGCAAATGTTCTACTATCATCAGGCAAAATAAAGTGCAAAGTTTAATACAGAAATAAAAATCAGCGTGTAATTGATCTATTTTCTGAATTTTAGGTATTGTGAGCCAGGTCCTGTGAACCATAGTGTAAAGGACAGCAGCCAGTACCTTTGTTTTATCTCTTCCTGGTGAACTGTGTCTATATCATTTAGCCAAAATACTTATTTCTACAAAAAAGCAGTAGCTGCATTCAGCAGCCACGTGCCATCCTCTTATTTTTTTCTTTTTTTTTTTGTTTTTTTTGCATAGGCAGCATCACTTTGCCCTACTCCCAGAATTTTAGACCAAATCCTGGCACCAGCTCTTTGTGTGCACCTTTCTGTGAAGCTACTGGAATTGAATGGCAGCTCTGTCTTGAAAGATAGAGTACGTGCAGGAGTTTTTCTTTCATTTGGTTTAAACTCGTGTTTCTTTTCATCTAATGAATCAGCACGTTGAAAAAAACACACTATAGTTAATTATAGGGCATGTTAATTCTGGAAAGAAGTGTGTGGAATATTATCATGTACTAAGAGGTACAAAAACCTGGAGAGCATTTACTCACATTTTAAAACTAAGAGCAGGTTAAACTGAGATGCTACAATACTTTAGTGTCTTTCTAATTTCCAACATTCTCACAGTGCCCTTCAAGGAAAAAATATATACTATAGTCCACTCACCCGTGCTTAATATTCTTGCATATTGCTGTCCTCTCTTATCCCAGCTAGTATAATTGCTAAAGTGCATCAAAAAAATCTCAGTGTGTCAAATAATTGTGCAGCAGACCAAGACTTGTCAAATTACTTTCTCTTTTTCATTACTTGTTTGTTTCTTTTTTTGCTAGAGAAAAAAAAAAATCACAGCGTTGCATTTGCTTCAGATTGTTTTGGAAATATCATGCTTACTGATGAGAACCTCCAAGAGCCTGATTTTGGCTTTTGTGTGCTTGTATTCGGAGTATTCCTCAGCCATGGGCACCCGATCTTCTTTCTGAGGACTCCTATGAAAAGTAAATAAATGTGCAATCACTTTTATGCATAAGAGGAGAAACAGTCCTTAAAATTAATTCTGCAACAACTTATGAGGATTTTTCCTAACTGAGGTGACAGAGGATGACAGGACCAAAAAGCTCTACCAGACAGAAATTAAATAATAGCGTTTAAAATACTGAATTTTCATCTGCCAGGTAATTTTCTCTCTTGTCAGCTATGCAAGCATAACTCCTTCATTCCCAAATATGCAGAGCAGTTCTTAGGTGGTACCTTGGAAATGGTTACCAGAATACTACATGCCCATATCCCCCTCAGTTTTCAGCAAATAAGTTTGCTAGATGAAGGGAGGAAGATAAAGAGTGAAAAGTAACCAGTATTTATCTATGGGGGAATGGAACGGAGGCTTCTGTTTTTAAATCTGGCCTTTTAAAAATGATCCAGCTGCCAAAGTGTCATCTCCACAGACTGACATCCTCCAAAACACTCTTTGGCAGCCATTGCAGACGTCCTGGAAAAACCCCAAATCCAGACTGCCCTCAATGGTGCCCATATCCAGAAGGAACTAAGCAGGGACCTGGATATCTCCACAGAGACCAGGCACCTCCATGGTATCTTCCAGTCCTGAGCTGCAGCTTCCTTGGCCTTCTCATCTAAGAGTACCCACCCTAGCAGAAACAAACACATCTGCATAGGAGCCCAGAGGAGAGAAGACAAGGGCTTTGGTGAGCTGGATATTTACCTTCCTGTCTGTTTATAGAACTGTTCCTCAAACTCCCTCAGAGCTCTGCGAAGCCTTTTCTTATCCGCTCTCGTTTCTCTGAGATGTTCAAGCAGGACAGGCCTGTAAGACAGAGACAAGAACATGAAAGTCCCAGGTACTTGGAACTATTGTAAAAGTTGTGGCTCTGGGTAATAAGCAACCTGCTGCTGTGAGCCACGGCAGGCACTGATTTCAGGATCCCAAGACATTCCACCACATCTCTTCAATGATGGTGTGACTGGCTGTAGCACCACATGCCATAAACAGTTGTGCTCCTGCCCTGTTACATGTAGTCTCACTCTTCTAATAAAGTGAAGGCAGAGACTCTATGGACAGCATGGGAGCAAAAGCTTTCAGGATTGAGTCTTGCTACTGGTCTTAATTCTGTCTGGAATTAATGACGTCGACAGGACTCGGCACCTCACAGGAGATGCTTTGCAGCTCTGTCCACATCCATGCCCTAATCCCAAAAGCAGCTGTTACCAACCATTACTATGATGCAGTGGAAATGCCAGTGGTACCCAGAATCAACAGCTTGGCTGGTATTTGGAGAATAAGGTTTTTAAGAAGAGGAAGAATTCAGCTATGGCATAGACAGTTGGTTTGGTTTGGCTTGGTTTCCCATAATAACAAAACGCACAAAATATCTTCACAGCATCTGTGAGCCAGCTATTGCACACTAGTTCAGTTGCATAGAACAACAACACATTTTTGTTTATTCTCAATTTTGGTATAGTCAATTTAATTTCTAAGAGCTCCCAATCAAAACACAAGAGACCATGCCACAAGCTCTGAGGCCACGTCTGTTCCTGGAAGGCATGTTCTTCAGCAGGTTTCAGGGCTGAGGAATAACAGCACAAGTGCATCTTAAGATTTGTTGTCTCATGCAACCTGAAATTCTTAGCTACAAAGCAGAAGGAGGCATTTATTTTGGTTTTATAACAGAGGGCAGGAAGGTAGTGTTAAGTTTTCTGGGCATCCAGACACTAACAATTTTTCTTATTCAAGGAAGAAATCAATTTTACACACATTCAACTGCCAACCATGTGTTGTGGAATCCTTTACTCAGCTCACCTGCTGCTGTTTGTGTGTCTCATGTGTCTGTTTTATTTACATCACTCACACAATCAGTCCCAGAACACACACACACAGGAGCAGACTATCCTGCTTGCCCAAACTGTGCTTTGTTTTATGACTGCTTTGGAAGAATGTAAGTAGTTAGATATCTAAAAATATTGCAGCAGTTATGGGTAGGCCCACATATCTTTATTAGGTAATAACTACCCCTCCATATATGTAGTTATTTGTTGTATTTGCTTACATTCCTTTACCTGTCTCTTCATGGACTTGACACAAAGTTGTTTAAACAACTCAAACTACAGGTGTGCTGCCAAAAAACCAACTATCTATCTTCTGCCTCTTCTTTCCCAGAAGAAAACATTGAATCACTTCTTAGATTAGGTATAGAATATTCCCATGCAATAAGCATGGAACGTGTTTCATTTACAAAGTCTACACAAAATATTTCAAACCATTAAAAAACCAAACAACTTACATTGTTGCCTCATGTAAATTGGACATAGACAAGGCTGTTTGCCTGAAAACTTTCTTTTCATCCAGAGGTGAAACGTAGGCAGGCTCACTCTCCTCCTGAGAGTAACACAGGTGCTCGTCGACAGGGAGGCAAGATATTGGACCAGATGATAACTCATGGCTGCTTTGAGAATGGTCTTCATCTGAGTCTTCCTCCTCCTGCTTGTAAAATGTGCAGCATTTTTAAACCAATTGTTCACAACACTAGCAATTAATAGCATGACAATGTAAAGAATTAGGTTCTCACTTCCTGCATGTATTAACTGAAAGAGATTACACATACCCTGAAAGTTTCACCCAGCTCTACTGGAGACTGTTCATGGAGGGTCATGTGGGGCTCAAGAAGCTCCTGTGTATTGTCCACCATGACTAAACAGACTTATTGCTTCTAAGTATCTCCAGCATTTACTTCTGTTTACTCAAAAGCCTTTATAAGCAGCAAAGATTTAAAGAACATTCTGTATTTATATAAGCAGTGCAGTCTTGCTGGAACTTGCACTCATCTTATATACCATCTACTACTTATATATGTACAGAAATTCTGACTTTATCAAGAGTTGGAGGTAGAGATGCTACAGTTTTATAGCTACAAATGTTAACTGCCAAAATAGAGTGATGCTGCTGTCTTTCTCACATTCCTTCATCCTCAGAAGGAAAGTTGAGCTTTTGACACTAAGACTTAAACATTAAAACTCCATGGAGCAAAGCTCCTAAGGAGTAACACAAGGGAAACCTCAGTGAAATTTTAAAATATAATATCTGGGTGCATGTGTACAAAGATTGGCATTTTTCAAAGAAATCTAAAGCTCTGCTGTCATCTAACAAGACAATAGTTCATAATTTTAAAAATCAATCCAGCCACAATTAGTTTTAGATTTGTATTTTTGATAGAGACACGCTAATGAACTTCCAAATAGCCAGATTCTGTACTACAGAAAAACTGGCATTTCTGTTCTACATGCTTGATAAAAGCATTGTCAGGCAAATGCAGAAGCTGGGTACAGTGACAGCAGCATGGGAAGAGGGAGGTTTCATTCTGTGTTGCATATGCTAGGAGTAATAGAAAACTAATGCCAGCCTTTGATCTCTTACCAGTCATTGAAGTGTGGTGATTTCTTCAAAAGCTGCTGCTGTACTCTACTGCAGCCTCTGGTATGCTTAGAATCTGAATTTTACAGAGAATTTGCTCTATTTGAACTATTTGAACCTGTATTAACCAATTCTTCAAATACCACTAGTTCTATTGCTGCCAAACTGACATACAGGTACAAATCAAACACAACATTTAATGTGTCTTCTTGACCATGCACATGAATTCTTTCCAACTTACAATTGTTGTGATCAAAGATGGAGTTGCAAGAAGTTTCTTGATAATTCTGTATCTGTCATAAAGGGGTTTCATGAGACCCTTTTCTTGCTTAGTTACCTAAAGAGAAATCATAATAAAATATATTCCTTCAAATTAAAAAAAAAAAAAATAAAGAAATTTCTCATTTCCCTCTGTAAAGCTGAGGAAGGTAAGAATATGACCTGATGTGTGCTTTGCTTCCCTAGAAATTCCATTGGAACTGTAGTTTAGCCCATGCAATGTCTAAAAAGGAAAACAGGAGTCTGTTTTCTGATGGAAAATAGCCAATGTGGATTCCTCACTTCCTTGAGCCACACCATGCAGGCAGAGGGTAAACTATTCTCTGTCTCTTTCTGAAGATGCTGCTAGGGTTGTAAGAGTTAAGATATGTCTTTACTGCACCTTGAGTTGGTAGCTAGCACACTTTACCATGACAATGGCAACAGGCTAGCAGCAGTAAGTGACCTTCTGCCCAGGACAATACACTCAGCAGGATGGAGAGCACTGAGAATCCAGCTGAACAGGCTCAGTGAGAGCAGCCAGCCCGTGCAGAATGGTTGTGAGCATCCCACACTGGAACTGCCTTCCACCACCAGCATGAACCATCTGCTCCTTTAGTTTGTTCTTGCTCTTATGTGGGCACCAGGAACATTCATTTGGAGAAGAATATTATTTCAGGTCAGGTATTAAGGCTGATATTAAGGTATGAAAAGCAACAAGTATTTGTAAACACAAAACTAAACCTTATGGAAATTAGCTGTGCAGTAGCCTGACTTACTGTATTGAAGGAAAAAAAGAGTAAATCCCACAAGAAAACCATCAAACCAACCAGAAAAACAATATGTTCCTCAGTCATTAAATGTCAGCACAGAGTCATTTGCAAACTAGTCCACCAACAGCTTCTGCTCCTCAGCTCACATGCCTATCAGCACCCCTGGGGTACAACATCTTCCAGCATGGCACCTGCACCACTGTGCTGAAGCCCAGCTACACAGCTCAGCTGAGTGAGCACACGGCAGCTCTGGAGCGACACAGGCTGTCTGATCCTGTGGACAGTCATCCAAAGTGGCTCAGAAGCACAAATATCTGTTGTAGTGCTGGGTTAAAACGTCCAGCCCTGATTGAGGGTTGCCATATGGATGACATCCACAACCAGACAAGACCCTGCTGACTGGTTTTCACCCAGGACCTGGCCAGCCTTGGGTGGGAACTGATGAGGACATCACCACCAGGTGCACCCCACCTTCCACATTAGCTTGGAGGTGAGGCTAGAAGGCACCTCTACAAGAGCTGACTCTGCCTGCAGTGCAGTTGGGAGGTTTGTTTTTGTGGTGTATGTGCTGTGTGAGGATTCTGGCTATCAGAAGAGCTCCATGACTTCATAGCAAGTGGAGTTCCCAGGATGTCAGGGCCAGAATGTGAAGCTGTCTCTGAGCCCCTGCTACATATAACTGGGCTTGTGGCCTAGCTGCTACCATTGCCCATGCTTGGCTCCTTGCCTGGCTTGCTCCCTTCTTCATGCCCACTGTGGTGGGTGAGTGCATTGACTTGTTCCTCTCTGGTTGTCTGGCACTTTGGATCTCTGGTGTGTGATGTGGTAGCTGAAGGAGGAGTTTGGCTGCTGATCTGCCTGGTTAATGATGATATCATTCTATATCAAGCAAGTGAGCAGGAGTAAGGGTGACAGTAGAGAAATGGAGGTTGATGACACCGCATGTCTGGCTGATGGAGTAGTTGGGGACTATTTCTAGAGGCATGCATCACTGTGGAATGTCAGGGCTTGCCTATCCCAACTAGTCCATTTCTCTGCCCCAGACTTGCCCACATCCCATTGGATTGCAACACATAAGAGCTTCAGAAAATGCCAAACAATCCAGAATAGACCATCTTCTGGTTTAAGTCTAGTCATAGAATCAGAATCCTTTAGGTTGGAAGGGACCTTTAAGATCTTCAAGTTCAACCATCAAGCCAGCACTACTAAGTCCTCTGCTAAAACAGATCAGAATCTGTCAGGGTTGGAAGGGACCACAAGGATCCCCCAGTTCCAACCCCTCTGCCATGAGCAGGGACACCTCCCACTAGATCAGGCTGCCCAGAGCCTCCTCCAGCCTGGCCTTAAAGACCCCCAGGGATGGGGCCTCAACCACCTCCCTGGGCAACCCATGCCAGGGTCTCACCACTCTCCTGGGGAAGAACTTCTTCCTCACATCCAGCCTGAATCTGCCCACTGCCAGCTTTGCCCCATTCCCCCTAGTCCGGTTGTCACTCGATAGCCTAAAAAGTCCCTCCCCAGCTTTCTTGTAGGCCCCCCTAAGATACTGGAAGGCCACAAGAAGGTCCCCTGGGAGCCTTCTCTTCTCCAGACTGAACAGCCCCAACTCTCTCAGTCTGTCCTCACAGCAGAGCTGCTCCAGCCCTCGGATCATTCTCGTGGCCCTTCTCTGGACACGCTCCAGCAGCTCCACGTCCCTCTTGTCCTGGGGGCTCCAGAACTGGATGCAGTACTCAGTTCCTCCTCTGTCTGACACTGCTCAGATAAGTCTGGAAGAAGATGGTGCTCATCCACATTGTAAATTGGCAGGGCAGACATTGTCACCAGCCTGCTCTGCTGTCTGTCAAGGCTGCTGTAGTCATACTGCTCTGAATATGTAGAAACTTGATAATCTTTTCTGATGGATTCCCTCTTTGTACTCCCAAAGGAGGTTTTTATAGTGACTGTCACATTGTCTAGGACTGAATGTTGCTATTTACTCAAAACAAACAGACCCCACAACAAGCCACAGAAGTTTCTGCATGATAGGCTAAATTTCTGAGTATTTTCTTGAAATCCCAGCACACTCCATTCAGTTTAACCTCTTCAAGTGTTGTGAAAACCCCTTCTCTCCACTGGGACACCTCTTGGATAGCAGAGAGGCACCTGTTTTATTAGTTAACCTCACCAAAGTGGCTTTTCCTGCACAGTCACTGATTTGCCTTCTCCAAGTCCTTACTCCCTGGCTTTTACAAACTGTGTGTGTCCCCAGCAGATCTCTCTTCCCTGGGCACCTCCTGCTCTGAACTGGGCACAGGGTCTGTGCTTGTCACTGAGCTTAGGCCTTGCTCTCCAGGTGTTCTTGGTGCCCAGGGTGCATGCAGAGGTTTCACCCCTGTCCCTCAGGAAAAGGCATGATACAGACACAACCATTAACATTTCCTTCTCTAAGAGATGTGATTATTTGATCATGCAACTCAAACTGTGCAAATCATCTCCAGGTTACTTGTTTATTTTCAACACCAAAAGAAGATGTAAAAATCTTGCCTAGCTTCCATTTCCCTGCTTTAAATTCTTGATTGTCCCTGAGCTTTCTGTGACCTTAAGTCAGAGCTGTTTGGCATACTTAAGACTCCCTCATGGCAGCTTAGTATCACTGAGCACCTCTTCCCTTATGCAGTTAACATCCTCTTTCTTAGCTGGTTGTAGAGTTGCTTCAGCCTTGGAATAAACACTCCCCCTGAACTCCACGCTACAAAGCCTTCCCTTTTCTGGTTTTGAGTCTTTTCACTGCCACATAGCACTAATAACTTGATTTCTTCTTTGTTCTCCCTCTCAGGAAACATAATTTATTCATACCTTTCCTATGTATTCTCTCCATCCCTCAGCCCTCATTCCAAGCCCAAACATGAAGGATAAAATTTATTTTATCCAAGATGCAGAGAAATCAGATTCAGATCATAGTAATGTTCACATCTGGCATATTTTTGGACACATGCTAGTACCACTCACCTTTCCCTCTACCACAAGTCTTTCCTCTACTAGTCAGAAAGAGACAGTCATAAGAATACAGACATAAGACATCAAACAGGAATTCCTCAGCTGCATATAGACAAATTTTCAAATCATCATCTTGCCAACGGTGGCAATTTTTTGTTTTGTACCTGCATTTGGCAATGGAGTCCCTTGAAATAATTTTGATAATTTTAAGTGCTGCTGTGAGCTAAAGGAAAGCACAGGTGACAGGTCATGGCATCTTTGCAGTTCATGTCTCAGATGGTGCCCTTCTCAGCTGCTAAGGATTCTAACCTTTCACATGCCATAGCAGAGCTACAGTAGGCATGAGCCAGGTCTGCTGTGGATGTATGATCTTCCACCTTTATCATCAAAACCTGCAACTTCCAACCATGAGAAGAAATACAGGGCTAGTAGAAACTTGTATTTTTGTTTTATTTTTTTAAAAATAGAAACCAAATTCATCAATATCAGGCAATAACTTTTATACCTGAAGATCATTTTGAAATAACTAAAATTATGTTCAATGTGTAAAATTCACCTAAATATATTTAATATGAGTCCAAAAACATTTGTTAGAGAAAGTAGATAATTTTTAATTTACCTATCATTCCATGGTATACTTACAGGTTGTCCATGAATACTCTCAAAATATAGCAGACATTTCTGAAGACTGATTTTTTCCAATGCCATTTGCTTTTTTGTCATATCCTATTTAAAAAAGTTATTTATAAGATGATGAGTCAGGATTTCATGACAAGGGTACAGGTACGTATCTCTTTTTTAATCTATTCTCCCCAGACAAACATTAATAATTAATTCTGTTTCTCCCACACTGAAGTCAATGGGGACTTGGTGTTAACTTAGCAAGAAGAGAGTCCAAATTTACATGACTGAAGTTTTAAGTGAGTCCATGTATGTGTTACTGCCCCAAGGCCTAACATAAAGCTATGAGAGTTATGGAGATACTTCTACAGACCAGAGCAAGCTTTAGGTTAGGCCTTTATCAGCAGAATATATTTACTTTGTCTGGCCAAAGTGGAGTCTTTGGGGCCAGATCCTGCACTGTTTCTGGAGAAAGATGCATGAGTGAATACATACTGAAAAGCCAGAATCTCATTTTTCTTAACTGTCACTGTATAAAGATCTAATCCTTGATTGCCTTGACATTTTTTCCACAATTACTATTCTACAAAAGCTATTGAAGAAGCTTAAATTCAGGAAGCAGCATCAGGCTATTGACAGAACACTGCATCCTTATCTGGAAAGTTTCCAAGGGTTCAAACTGTGGCCTTAGTCAATAAGGCAAGTATCTTTGTGTGCTTGATCAGAGCCTGCATCTGAAAAGTTCTTCTGGGAATGCTGGCTGACAGGAAGCCTGAAGAAGCAGAGGTTTTTGCTTGAATATCAAAGCCAAATTCCGTGCACATGAAGGGTATCTCATCAGGTGAATTTTGGAAAGGCAAGCCCACAGAAGATGACTGCAGTATTTAAGGTGCTGGCATTGAGGTCCCACAGATAACAGTGCAGTGCTTTCCTAGAACATTTTCCAATATTTAGCTAACATTTATGAATATTTGTAACTGAAACTCTAAACTATTTTTCTTATCCATCCTAGGGAGAAATCAATTTAATGAGATATGTGTGTTATTAATTTCTATTTGCCAGATCAGTTCATAAATCATAGATAATATTCCCCAATATAAATTAAGACTTAGCTGTACCAGATGAGAACAACCACCATTTTAGACTAAATACTCAGAAAAATGCAAAAATGCACAGACATTCCTCAACTTTTCAATTATTCCTCAAGAAAGATAAATAGATTGCCTTGGTTCATAAGGGATGGAGAAAGCTTCAGCTATGCAAACACAACCCATTTAGTGGCATGACAGATTCAAAATGAAACCTCTAAATATCCAGTCACTGTGATACCATGGTGAACACACCATAAATGCTGAATATACTAGTGAAAGGTGCCCTCTCTAAAATGAAATGGAAGAACAGCCTGCAGAAGTCACAGCTGGCCAGCACACATCTCTAGAACCACTATGGGGAAGTGGCAGAAAGTGCTGCCCTTTCAGAATGGTGGGGAGGGATGTGGGTTTTCTTCCTCAGTCCCAGTTTTTGCTCTGCTGGGCTGAACATCTACCACTAGCAGTTTATTTCTGTTCAGATATCACAACATGCATCCCTGGTACCACAAAGAAGAATGCTGATATTTCAGCAGTGCAATTGGTCAATATTGGGGATGTACTGCTCTATGTTTGCTGCATGAAGCACACAATTTAATTGGTGTTTCTCTCCTTCTCTCCCCTTCCTAAGAAGATCTGCTCTTGAACTTGCATATTTTTAGCTGGCTGAGAACAGTAAGAAGCACGTGAAGCTAAAGTTGTTTTCCACATTTCTCTGCCAGATCACAGTAGGTCTGTCTGAATTGGGACCAGGTGTTTGGAGGAGATCTCAAACGCCACAATAAAGGACCATAAAGAAGGATGGAGTTTGGTTGGGCAAGGGCAGAGAACAGTGTTCCTTTCTGCAGGAGGTCAATGATGAGGATTTTTTATTGACAAGTCAGAGAGGTATTTTTATATCCATCCCTGAAGATGTAATGCTCTTCTAATATCAGAGGAAGGCATTGCTACTAACTTCAGCAAGCAAAAAAGGTTTTGCTCCTGTTGACTAAATGCAAAAATAGTGCAGAACCATTAACCACATTTTGTCTTACAGGTCTACATGAGTTAATCATTCCAAAATTCTCTCTCATTCCTGTTTAGAGAAGAGCTGCTAACTGGAATGCAGGGGTATTATAAAGTAGTTAATTTGTTTATTTATTGCTTGTTCTGCAATAGATACAAGGTTAATTCTTTCAAACACTATTAAGCCTGGCGCAGCTGGATGGTTAGGAGGAAACAAGGGGTGATCATTAATATTGACTTTACACATGAGAAACAGTCTCAAGAGGGTTTAGCATCTGGGCCTATTTCATTAGCTCATTTTATTAGCAATCTCAAGATGGGTTTGTATTCAGCTAAGTTTGAAATGGTTGGTAATTTCAAAATCAGAGAAGGCAGGTGGAATCACAAAACACCAAATAGTCTGAGACATCTTAGGGCTTTAGGCTGCTTACAGCAGCATGAGATTCAATGCTAATTAAATACAGCCACTGCTTCATAGCTAAACAAAAGATGAACTGAAGCAAGTCAATAATGAAAGGACAGATAGAGATATATATATATAAAGGGAACCAGTCTGAGAAAAGCCTTGGAGGACAGACTGCAAATGTTCAAACATAAGGCAGAAGTTGTCTGTGGCATATAAAGAAAAGGAGATTACATGTACAGCTAAAGTAGTAGCTGGATTTTCTAACTTGGACAAAGGCATAAAAACCACTGAACACAATTGAATTCCTCACTAGCCAATTATATCTACTTACCTTTTGGTTCCTGAACTCCTACATTCATGGTCTTAATTTTTTTTTTGGTTTTTTTTTGGTAAAGTCTTGTGCCTAAAAATGAGGTGAACTTCTAAATAAATCACTACCTCCCAACACAAGGAGCTAGAGGCACAAACAGTAACAAGCAGTTATCCACTTTTGGATTACTGAACCATTCTCAGGCCAGACCACATTTTCTCTATGACTTCTCATTTGCTAACTTCCCTCACAGGCTTTTTTGCACAAGGGGTATTTTATACTGAAAACCACATATTCATATTCAGGTCTTGTGGTTAGTCCTCTTTAGACATACTGAGTGCTTCAGGATTTTACTCTACACCTCTCTTAAGGACACACATTCTCTCATTTGCATTTCAGCATCGTCTTGGAAGCTTTCCACAGCTGAACTAGAGGGAAGAACTTGGCAGGCTTTCATAGAAACACTATCCTTGCCCCAGATATCTATATCTTGAAAAAGGAAACATTTAGCTGTTATTAGTTTACTGCTAGTCTAGCTCAGATTCTGATACAGGATCTAAATGTTATATAAAAATAAAACGGTGCACATATGAAATTTCTACCATAACACCAAAGCTCCATGTGGGTGAAGTGAAGTCTTTAAGGCCAGGCTGGAGGAGGCTCTGGGCAGCCTGATCTAGTGGGAGGTGTCCCTGCTCATGGCAGAGGGGTTGGAACTGGGGGATCCTTGTGGTCCCTTCCAACCCTGACAGATTCTGATCTGTTTTAGCAGAGGACTTTAGAGCCTAATGGCTCAAGGGTTGGACTTGATGATCTTGGAGGTCCCTTCCAACCTAAAGGATTCTATGATTCTATGATCTTAGCTGTAACCAGCAGGCATTTTTAATTCATTTCTCATCATTGCTGCTATAAACCACATTCTCTCCCAGAAGTCCAGGGTGACTCATAATCAAAACCCAATAATTCTAATGTTATGCTTAAGGACCTACTAAAATAAATAATTTTGAAATAGATCATTAGATCAATTTTACTTGATATTATTCCTTTTCAAGCCTCTGTTCCATGGCAGTTTCATATAACTATTTTCATACACTTTGCTAACTCATAGTTCTTTCAACACAAGTTCTCTTTACCAGAATACAAGAAAATAAATAAGAACACTATGAAAAAAAAAGTGAAAATATTGACTTGTGCAAACATTTAATTTGTATTACATAATTCTCTGTGAGAATAATTCAAGCCAGCACTTCCATTGCACAGATTTAGGAGGTTCTTTCTTAGCAAATGAGAAGTCCAGCCAAACAAAGAATGAGTGGGACAGAGACCAACACCCAACCTACTTTTTTAAGAGAGTTTGTTCAGACAGGATTCCTCACTAACATCTGTTTTGGTGTCATTTTATCTTGCTTTTTGCATAATAAAAAATAACTAACTGGAAATATCATACAGTCTGCACTGTTGGGATTGTAGGATATTTACATCACAGCACGGTTTTGCTGTCATCTTTTGTTTTCCAACAAATGAGTTCTGGTTATGAAACACTTTTGTCCATTCCAGGTTTTTAAAAGTTTACTGCTAATAAAATAGCAGGTAATAGTAGTTTATATAAAAAAAGAAACAATTAAAAAATCAGTCATGTATGCACATTTATAAAAAGAAAGTATTAAAAAGTCAGTCATATATGCAGAGCTCAAGATGTGACCAGCATGGCATTGGTATGCTCAGTTCTGGTTTTCATACAGTAAAAAGTTGTTTAAGAACCAAAATTAGAAGCAAAACAAAAAAAATTAAAAATTATCTCTGCTGGGTACTTCCACTACTGAAATCCACCCAGAATAATTTCTTGGTTCTTGCATAGTTTAGCATTTAGTTCTTCTTCATTCCTCCTTGTCCCCCTGACCCTCTCTTCTTTTTCATTCATCAGCCAGAGTATAAAACGTTGCTGTCAACACTTTGATTATTAGGTACCTTTGAGGAGAGAATTTAATGTCTTGCTTGGCTGTATGGCATCAGGAATGATTCTATTCTATGAATAGCAACATCATTTGACAGCAAAAAAAAATAGTTTTAAAAAAAATGTATTTTTATGGACAATAAGTAAGTATTGCAGAACAACAGCATTAGCCAGAGCCTATAGTGCCAGTAGTGTGAAGATACAGCAGAATTTTAAAATATACACTAGTTCAAAAATAGATTTCCCAGCCAAGCAAGCACGTTTCTTGGAATATTGCTCCTACATTTAAAGAACATGGAAGAGCAGAGGCTGTATCAGCACAAGTACACATATAAGCTCAGAAAAGCAAAGCAGTCTGGATGGTTGTGCTGTCCATGTGATCTCAGTGCAGTGCTATCAGCTGGGCAGAGGCTCCCAGCCTTTCTCAGATGAAAGGTTTATTGTCAAAATAACTTCAGGAACAATTTTAGTCACACAGTTTCTGTGGACTCAAGATAAGAGAGCTTTTGCTGTCACCATCTTCTGTATGCTGGGATATGCACTTCCTGCCTCAAGGACACGGGTTTCAGCACTGCCTGGCCAACGGTTTTGTACCTGCATCTCTGAGCAAAAGGCACTTAGTGCTCTTTGAAAAAAGCTTCTACACCTTTTTTTATGTGCAGCTCTTCACAGAAACATCAATTCAGAAAACTGCACTAGTGCTCCCATCTTTTTGGAGGGAAAATGCACTGCAGTGCCAGAAGACACAGGATGCACATGCACCAGCATACCCTGAGACAGCTACACACTGGTTAGTATCTGTCTAGGATAACCAAGCTCTGAAAGAAACAGCCACACTTGTTAAATACCTTTATAGTCTCAGGAAGGTTAAAGTGCTGTCTTTTCTCCTTGAGTCTTCTAAATACACTGTCCATGGTTTCTTCTACTGAGGGAGCTGGTTCCATGCTCGTGGCCTCCTGTGTTCCAGCCTCTTTAGTGTTTTCACAATGATCATTTCTTTGGGGTGCTCTAGAGGTACAGTTTTGCTCTTCTGACATTCTGAGTTTCAGGTCTGAAAGGCAAATTACTTGGCAAGTAAATAGATTAGAAATATTTCAAAGAAATTTCCTCTGACACTGCAAGAAAAACACCATCCCTACTTCTTGCATACAATTGTTATCATACCACAGTTGTGTAAGAAAGTAACTCTGCTTCACTCCAACATCTTTTTGCTGGTTAAAGGGAAATCCAATGGTTAAGGGATGAGAAGTGTCCAGGCCAATGAAACTTACAGCACATATGTACTTCTCTTTTTCCTCCAAGATCATCTTTAACACAAAAGGTGAGGACTGAAGTGGCAGTGCCTCCACAGGCACCCACCCCACTCTCCCCCCAGCTGTGCCTGCCTGCCCTCCTGTGCTGCTTCACAAGCAAGGAAGAGAGCAAAGCCCTCTCCTGAGAGGGGCTGGGGTCTCTAAGCTGTGCCCCTGAGCCCACCATGCCAGCTGCCAGGCTACTGGATCCAGGTACTCCAGGGCTGCTTAGCCAACCCCACTCTCCTCTAGTGCAATTTAAGCCATAACTCTCCCTTCCAGAGGCTCCACTCACCAGAGGCTGCTGAGCTGGTCCTCACATAGAGGATCAGCCACCTTGCTTAAATGACTTCCCTTGGCAGAAGAGCACCTGAGCAATGCAGCAGAAGCCATATAGGTTACAGTGTGTCCTAGCTCCTCAGTCAGCACCCTGCCTGGATGCAATACAGTATGTAAGTGTATTGGTTTGACACCAAGCCAAAGACTCTGGAGCTCTAGGGACCTTCACCGAGCAAGAAGGAAATTGAATTAAGGTCTGAATTAGCTCCTGTAAAAGCAGCTTTGTTCCTGGCATATGCCTGGCTGGTGAAGGACCTTGGGCAAGGTAGGACATTGATGGCTCCAAATATGTTAAATTTATTGAAATCTGTGCAGAAACAGTAACATAATTTTTTTAGCTGTGCTAGCCTGAGGATACAGGCCAGGCTGGTAGGGAAAACCAGTAAGTTTTAATAAACTCATAGAGCTAGTAAGGATGGACAAGCTTCCTCAACTTGAAGGAGGACCTGTGAGTACTTGGGTGTTTTTCCAATTGCACCTGTCTCATGAACCTCATGAATCTTGCTTCACTTAAAAACGATGTCATTATTTCAGATAATAAAATTAAAAGTGTTCATGTATTGAGGCACTTGGGGTGTGAAGATGAGGCTGATCTGTGAAAACTAGACCCTCTGGCTAACCGATGTGATGGTTGAGACAAAGAGAGAATTTTCAGCAAGCTAACTATGTAGGTTGGCCATTTGCCCTTCTTGAATTTGTAGCATAAATGAACATTTATTCAAGGGGAAAAAAAGTATAGTACACACAGCATAGCATTTAAGGGGGAACTGTCCAGAAGAAATCTACTGAAAGCTGAGTTTCTGATTCTTTATTTACATAATCACACCCTCTAAACCTACTTTCTTAACTCTATCCAAAACAGAGATGAAAGATAATGCTGCAGTTGAATTAGTAATAAGAATCCATTTATGATGGGAAAAAAATAGATTAATTATAAATAACCTAAAAAAATTAGATTAATTATAAATAACCTTAAAAAAATAAATTAAAAAATCAGGCTTGGCTACCTTCTCCCTGAGGGCAAACACTCAATACACCCACAGACATTAATGGAGTCATATGCAGACCATCAAGGGCAAAGCTTTACCCACAAGACCAACTCTAATATCAGGGAAAGATCTGTTTTTATGATCAAAAAATTAAAGCTTTAGGGTTGTGTGGCCTTCATCCTAAAGAACCATTTTGCACCTATATTTGTACTACTACAAGGACACTTATCTTTGAAGTTCTGTATTTCACACACTCATAAAAACATTCAGAATAACATTGCCTTTTGCATCGATTTTTACAGTGATGAGAGAGAGATGTTATCTTTTCTCCCCTTCCCCTTTTTAGCTTTGCCATGAGGGTTGAACTGGCTAATTTTAATCCCTGCTTTCAGGAACCAAGGTAAGTCATATCACATCATATCCTTGCTATCACTGGGAGACTTAGTGCCATGCACTGCAAAAAATAAGCAGAGCACTGAGGTGAGAAAACTAACTTTAAAATATTCCAGCTACACTCATCCTTCCAAAAGCTTCAGTAAAAGTGAAACAAGATGGTATGGTGTACCTTTGAGCTGCTTACGACCTCTGGCCAAATCATTCATCCACTTCAGAACTTCAGGATTGGAAGTTTTGTCACCGTGTGAAGGCTGAATATAAAGAGAAAAGGAAGAATAAACCAGAAGGAATTGACAGTTATGCAATTGAATGGATAAAAACCTATCAACACATAGTGTGCTAAAAAAATCTCCATAGTTCCAACTGCACTGTATCCCAGTGTCCTGCAGAGCATTTGCCTTGACCATGATGCTGATTTATCATGACTTACCTCACCCCATTGTGGCACAGTGCTACATTGATCTGAGTATTTTGCCTCTGAGCCCCCCAAAAAAACTATTTAAGTCCCTGACTCATTGGATAAGTAATCTCAGTGGCTTCGAAAGGACTGATCCAATACCCAACATCAGTCAAGTTCCAAAGTGATTTCCAGAGTGGTAATTGAAGTGCCCTTTCCCTTGTATGGATGAGCCCTTACAGCTTTAAGACAGGAACTCTCTTGGGGAAAAGCACTTTAAAAAAGTTCAGCTGAATTGCTTAATGAATCAAATGAAAAAAATCCTGTGGAACAGAGCGATTTCAAAAGCCATAAACAACAAAAGCTTTTTATATTAATTCTTTCTTTGCATTTAGAAATTGCCTCCAAATTAAAATCAATTTATAACGGGTCTTCAAAATTTAGATATCTTAAACGGCAAAACAGTTTGGCTAAATTAAACCTCTGAAATAATTTCTTTTGTGGTCACAGTGTGATGGCTGTTTAGGAATCAAATTGTACTCCTAAGAGTACATAATGACCATGGGGCATTTCTGCCACCAGCTTCTATTGCATGCTATGATTTGGAGGTTTACAGGAGTCTACTGGAATGAAGGAACCTCCAGAGCAGAGCAACAGTTTCCGAGTAAATTACTCCTACAAAGTAAGTAGCGTGTCATCTTTTGGATCATTTTGGTTCACAAGACTGTCATCTGTGTTTCACTGATTCACACTTCTCACACATCTAGAAGACAGGTATTTTGCAGCAAAGGTAATCATAGTATCATAGAATCATAGAATCTTAGGGGTTGGAAGGGACCTCGAAAGATCATCCAGTCCAACCCCCCTGCCAGAGCAGGGTCACCCAGAGTACATCACACAGGAAGGCGTCCAGGCGGGTTTTGAATGACTCCAGTGCAGGAGACTCCACAACCTCTCTGGGCAGCCTGTTCCAGTGCTCTGGCACCCTCACAGGAAAAAAATTTTTCCTGATATTCACCTTGAACCTCCGATGCTCCAATTTGCACCCATTACCCCTTGTCCTATCACAGGTCATCACTGAAAAAAGCTTAATTCCATCTTCCTGACACTCACCCCTTTCGTATTTGTAAACATTGATGAGGTCACCCCTCAGTCTCCTTTTCTCCAGGCTAAAGAGACCCAGCTCCCTCAGCCTTTCCTCATAAGGGAGATGCTCCACTCCCCTCATCATCTTTGTAGCCCTACGCTGGACTCTCTCCAGCAGCTCCCTGTCCTTCTTGAACTGAGGGGCCCAGAATAATCCAAAGAGTAATCCAAAGAAAATGTAAATTAAGAGTTTCGGAACTACTGCGTACACTGAAATATGATAAAAAGGTATACCCTTATTGATGATTTTCCTATTTCATTTTACAACAAATACCCTTTCCCCAGCTGTTTTGTGGAAGTTTAAATAGACATGGATTCTTGCCTGCCTCTTGTAGTATTTCCCTTAGTCTTTTCAATTGCTATCTTACCAGGTATTTTTTTTCTTGCTCAAACTTTTCTTCATACTTCCTAATTTTTCTCTTGAGACTCTGAAGATGCTTGGTAAGTTGTGCTACTGTTTGTGGCTCTTTGCACTCTTCACAGTTACATGTAGAAGAACTTCTTGGCCTAGAAAAGTCAGAAGCATAGTAGCTGAATCAAAGAACTGGCTGTAATGGACTGTTTCTTATTTCAAGTACACTTCATGCTTTCCTAGCACCTCAGAATTTGCAGCTAGGTTCTTCCACAGGATAGAGACAGTTTAGTTTTACAAAGCAAGCATAAAATAATTGCTTTTACTTGAAAGTATCCCTCTAAGGTATACTAGTGGGTTCACCATCTGTCTTTCATTCTCTCTCTCTTTCTGTCTTTTTAATTAATTGTTGTGGGATTTGTGAATGTTTTTCAAAAGTTTAATCTAGTCGGTCACAATCTGATCCAGTATTTACATTTAATACCCACATCTTATCTCACAGATCTTCCAGCTGTAACAGGAGACTGTAATGATGTGATTTGGACAAGTAAGCTCCAGGAGTTTTTTATTACCTTGAATAAACATTACTATTTGAAATGCAGTTTAGTTTCTGGTGTTTTACAATTGCAAATTAATAGATCAGATTATTATTCTTATACAGCTGATAGCTATGCATATAAGCTTTTAAGAAATTTGGTTTCTGTCTGGAACTCACAGCTTGGTTTCTGGACATCACATATACAGATTGTTCAGATATTCTATGACCCTCTCATACTTAGTGAATGACTTAAGCCATAGTTCTATTACAGATGAAATTTTTAGTATTATGCCTCAATAGTGCTCTCTATCTTATGTTCACTCATCAGACTAATTACTAATTAATGTTTAAAACTGTCCTTGCTGACTATAAGGAAAAAATACTTCAAACAACATTGTACTGTTATTACTGAAAAATGCTAGATCCTATTTCTGATATTGCAAATTTGCCATGTTCAAAATATGCTATAACATGAAAAATTCTTGTTCATGATGTAACAGCAACTGGACAAAATGATGAAGAATCAAAAATTGTGGATTGCACAAAACTTATTTAAAATATATTTTCTTACATCATGAAAGGTTGAGCACTTGGTGGAGAAGGGGCAGACTCTGTGTCTAGATTGAACCTCTGGCTTTGGCTAAAGATAGAGCAGCGTGGTGACAGGAGAGGGTTGTCTCCATCCGTTATGTGATACAGCAGCCGACTGGTCCCTAGGGAGTGATGTTCCTGTGGGCTGCTCTCTGTGTCATTCTGCCAGTCTCTGTGGGCTGGCACAGCCTCTGGAAAGAAAACATCAACTGATATGGACTGAGAAGGTGTGGACACTGACAAGATATTTCGCTACCTAGGTAAATACGAATCTGTACTTACAGAAGTATTCAAAGCATAAGTATTCAATGTAAACAGCAAATAGTTCAAAGTATCACATGCAGGATGAACATTATACTGAGGGTGAGAAAACAGAAAGGACAGTTACTGGCTTAACATAAAACATATCTGAGTTACACAGGAGAAGGTGGATGAGTGTGTTTGTAAACTGTGAAGTGTAAGATGGAGAGTTTCCCAGAATAGTGTCATTAATTACATTCTAATAGATTTGCTTGCTTTTGAAAGCCACATTCCTGAAAAAGATGATGAATGTACAAAACAAGTTTAATTTTGTGGTTTAGCATTTAACCCTCTGGTCGAGAGAAAGTCAGATCAGAAATATAACATGTCCTGATGCTAAGACCCTCCAGTGTTACTTGTGGTACCCTGCAGAATTTAATTTAGGTTTGAAGTAACATATCCCTATGAAAACAAGCACCACCAGTACTATTCCAGGTAGTGTGCAGTGACTGCTACTTGGAGGAGTGATGCTTATGATACTATGTTAATATTGTCTTGGGCAATAAAAGGAAATCTGACCTCAGGTGCCTCAAAAGGTGAAATTTGTTTTATATAGGTCAAGCTAGAAGTCAGAATGATTTCTTTTGGACTGAAAAAGTAGGAATTGGTGAACCTCATCACATTGATTCTGTTTATGGATAAGATGGAAAATAAAGAGCACATTACAGAGCCTGCTTCTAGGGAATACCAGGGGCTCACCCTCCCTTTTCTCTACTGGGGCACACTAACAGGAAGATTCTGTTTATGGATAAGATGGAAAATAATGAGCACATTACAGAGCCTGCTTCCAGGGAAGACCAGGGGCTCACCTTCCCTTTTCTCTACTGGGGCACATTAACAGGAAGTACCATTGAATCTTTTTTCCACACTCTTGGGGAGTGAAATCAGTGGGGGTGATCTAGCATAGCCAATATTTTTACTATCATGTGATTGTGATTTAAAGCATATTATACTTTTAGGGAGAAACTCCACATTTATAAAAGCTCTTCCCCATAAAACTGTTGACATACATTAAAGCAAAGAATGTGCTCTGTCTTTGATTCTCCTGCATCATTTTCCATAGTACATAATATTTTACACCAGTTATGTTATTTTTTCTCTCTAAGACCACATATATATATGGCCTTTAAATTAATATTTTTTAATTATTTTTTTTTTATTTCCAGGCAGCATGAACACTATTTCTAATCGGTGTTTGGTTTGGAATATAGCATGCATTCTAATACATTTCACAGAGATATTTTACTCAATGAAAGTCTGAAAGTGCAGAAAAAAACTGTCATGGATTTACAGAAAAGTGGACAGGTTTAGAAAAGCTCTTTCCCCTTCACTTCTTCCCTTAGTCTCCTTTGTACATGGGCCATGACATTAGTAAGTGGGGTGGCTATTTCTTTCAGAATTTTAATGGAGCATTTGCAGTACATTTTATATGACCTCTTCCCAACAGATACTGAAGCTACAAAACCCTATTGCTGCATTGGGATGGTGGGAACAAACCAGCTCTTAATGATGTCCTTCTTAGAAAGCAGCAATTGATTTCAAAAACTGTAGTTACAAGGGCCTGAAATACCATTTTCTCAGGCACTATCCAACTTTTGCTATATCTGTTTTTGCTTTACAGACAACAAAAAATTCAATTGCATATTGTAGAATTAGAGTTTGGTCTGTCATGAGGTGGCATTTGTCTTTTTTATCTATAAGTTCATCTATTGTAACAGCACCATGACTTATAGTTTTTAAAGAATTTTCACATGAGACAATGTAGTTGATTATTATTTTTAAGCATCTTTCCTTTAAGTCCTTTATATTCTGTAGGTCAAA